ACCTTCAGATATCCTATCCATGTCTGCAGTCCTCTATCCATCCGGATCCCTACACCTCCACACATCCACATCCAGATCCCTTTACCTTCGCAGCTAGCCTGCATCGTTCACCCTTGTCCCATTGCCCTAATATTATATCTTGCATATCCACGCATCTCATCCGGACCACATCCGATCCAGTCCAATCCGATCCTATCCGACGTATAGATACATTTCCTATCCAATATACGATAAGCTTCTTGATTCATTTCCTGTGCATATAATGTTAACACAGCCTATCCGGTATTCCTTGTTCCCGGTACCTCAGTTATATCTATTACCGGTATGCTTACTGATCCATTAACCTATGTTCATTTCCGACTCGCATTTATTAACCTTTGCATATGCTTCGTACATAGCCTCGGACTCTGCTTATTGATCCTTCCATTACTTCTCTTAGTATATAAACTCATGTATATGTCTTGTAGTACCTCAGTCTGAATATCATATTAGTCCTCGCACTAGTCTTCACTCTAAGTCCTCATATCAGTTCCAGTCTTCCAACTTAGTTGATATCCATCTCAGGCCTAGGGAGTTTCTCCCTAGGCCAGAGCTCCGCTCCTCTAAAGTTCCGGAAGTTTGTCCGGAACTTTCCCGCGGTCCTCCGGACCTATTCTGCTTCAGACTTTGTCCTTGCAGCCTTTCCTCTGTTTGCTTCTACTCAGGACAAGTCCTGAGTAGCCATTATACATATCCGTATCAGGATGAAACCTCATCATAATTTCCGGAACTTTCCCACACTCATCCGGAAGTTACTTGTACCTGTCCGGAAAGTCCTTCCGAAGTTTCCCGTGCCTTCGGACGTCTTCGGACTTTCTTCGGACACCAATCTGAAATTAAGGGCACATACTCGGGTAAGGGGCGCAGCGCACGAGCTGAAGCCAAGCCCCTCAGAATCAGTCCTACCCTTTGTGCATGGTCTTAACACCGACACCCATACTATATTTATTTCAGATGCTATACAAGCTGTGTATGCATTCTCACATTGTCAAGATTAGCTCATTACAACTGACTGGGACTCAGCTTCAGACATTCTTTCAGGGGACTCTAATAGTCTATCTGACTCTCCCTTACCTTATCCAATTCTTGAACCAAGGTCCGAACAAGACTGATCCAAGCATGTTTCAGAGCTCATTGACCATTGAGCACATGCTCGAGGCACTATTGCTATGGTTGAAGATGCCCTTCCTGCTCGTGTCCTGACTGAAATAGTCCAAAGGCCCTCCATTCTCACATGCGAAAAGCACTATTGCATGAGAACTCATATTCCAGCCTCCCATTATCAGCCTTCGTGCCCTCCTATCAATCCTTTCTTCTCTGACAATGAAACAGAGCACCTATATACCATTGCTACTGTCACAGAGTTTTATGGTGAGCACCAGCTTGCATCAACTATCAACAATGCACTGTACATGCCCTACCCTAATGCTAATATTGTGCATGCTCTGACTTAATAGAATCTTCTCGATAAGCAGCAGGGTTCAGACATCATAGCATTTGCATGTGCTCATGATAATGAGCTTGGTATTCAACAAGTTGAAGTTATTTTGGTCTCCTTTCAGACCAAGAAAGGTATTCAACCTGTTTGTTTTGAGATCTTTTCTAGCCGAATTCTCAAGGATGACTCTAATTCTGACTCTGACTCTGACTCTAATGACACTGATCCTAATGACAAAGGATTTCACCAAAAAGGCCAAAATCGAGATGACAAGGGACCTGAGGGAGGTCCTGTCTTCTTTCTCTAGTCTTGAGGTACTTAATCATTATGGTGGCTCATATGTACATTCTCTGATGTCATTGTCTAGCCACAGCCTGTTTGTGACTGTGTTTCTCGTGTTTGTGTTTGATTTTGATCATTTGTGCTCTCTGTTTTTGTATGTCTATCTTTTGTATTTTATATTCTTTGAAAATCCAAAAATTGTCCTATTTTTTTTCTTTTATCTTTGCTTGCAACCATGTTTATTTGTATTCATTTGGTTTGCATTTTTGTATATTTGTACCTACATCTTTTCCATTGAGTTTCATTTTCTCATGTTGTTTTTGGCTTTGTATTGCTTTGGGCCTGTCTTATAGCCCTGTATTTGTATCCAAAACTCCCCTATTATTCTTATGTGTCCTCATTACTAGGGACATTATGTACTAGCATAGTTTATAATGCAATGCATCCATTTAAAAATTCTACTGTGAAGTTTGAGGAATTCACAAGTATCACTTCAAAAGTATTTAGCCTTGCTATATTTTGTGAAGATTTTGCAGAGATATCTTCTAAAGAACCTATACTTGTGTACTCCGAGGATATTCCAGAATATCAAACAGCTGAAGAGTACTATATGATGTACCAAAAAGATAGTCAGGAGCCTTTTATTGAGCCTTAAGCTATCATACCAATCTCTTTGGAGGATCCTAGTAATTCAGATTCAGATTATGATGATGCAGATATTATATTTGATTGTCAATCTTCTGACTTGAATGATCCTACCTATACTCCTATTCTTACAATGTACAAACAAGTTAACAAGAAAGTCAAACCTGTTTCTGGTATATTCCCCCAAGATGCATGTGTATCCAGGCATTTTCCACATAATCCATTGGAAACTATGGTTCCCTTAACTCCCAATCCCTCCAAATTCATTTCAAATGAAAGACTTACCCAACATATGGAGAGTCTGAATATCAACTCTATTGGATTTCTGTGGCCAGAAGAAGAAAAATTATTCTGCCATGTGATGCATTTAAATCAAGATGCACTTGCATTTGAGGAAACCAATTGTAGTACCCTTAAGGAATCCTATTTCACCCCCTACATTATTCCTACTATCCCACATAAACCATGGAAATACAAGAATATTTCTTTTCCCCCTAAAATACGACAAAAGGTCATTGATCTACTATGTACAAAGATTAATGTAGGAGTGTATAAACCCAGCCAGTCTGCTTATCATTCTCCCTGGTTTGGTGTACTCAAGAAAAATGGAAAACTGTGGTTAGTTCATGACCTTCAGCCACTTAACAAAATTTCTATACATGATGCTGGCCTTATTCCCATTATGGATGACTTTGTAGAGTCATTTGCAAGCAAACAGTGTTACACTGTTTTTGACTTATTCTGGGGATTTGATGTCAGAAAAATACACCCAGACAGTCAAGACTTAACAGCTTTCCTCACTCTCCTGTGATTGCTATGGTTAATAGCATTATCAATGGGATATACAAATGCACCTGCCAAATTCAAAGGTGTACTAGCTTTGTTCTTCAAGAGGAAATTCTACATGTTGAAAATGTTTTATTGATGACTTACTAGTGAAAGGACCTAAGTCTATTTACCCAGATGAAGAAGACAAACCAGAGGTTTTAAAAGAAAATCCTGGTATACAGAAATTTATTTGGGAACATGCTGTTGATGTTCATAGAATTATACACCATATCAAGGATGTTGGTGCTATATTTTCTGTGACAAAGATACAGATCTGTTTGCCAGATGTCATCATAGTTGGACAAAGATGTACCCCAGAAGGATGGTTATTAGATATGGACAAGGTTTCCAAAATCCTGAACTGGCCTATTCCCACCACAGTCAAAGAAACAAGAGGCTTCATGGGCCTATGTGGAACTGTTCATATTTGGATTTTAGGCTTTTCTGAACTAGCCAAGCCTATCACTTGCCTCTGGAAGAAAGATGAGCCATTTATTTGGGGAGATGAACAAAGTGATGCATTTGAGATATTGAAAAAGAGAATTTGTTCAGCTCCAGCTATGGGAAGCATAGACTATGCCTCCCCAAATTCAGTGATTTATCAGTTGATTCTAGTTTTATGGCTGTAGGAATTATCCTATCGCAGATTGATGGCAATAGAAAGTGTAGACCCACACGCTATGGTTCTCTACCAATGGGAGACACAGAGTCATGCTATTCCCAGCCCAAACTTGAACTCTATGGACTTTATTGTGCTCTTAGGGATTTCTGACTTCATATTATGGATGTACAAAACCTTGCTGTGGAGGTTGATGCTACATTAGTAAACTACTGGGTTCTATATAGTTCTGTAAAGAGCTGTACAGCGTGAGAGGCAGACAGCTTGGTCCCTTCTGGATAGCTTACTACAGTAACACCTTTCCCTGTCAATCCTTGTACAGACATTCACAGACACCCCAAGAACTTCATTTCTGTACACAATTCACCACAAATCTTATTGTATACTACTATCCAGTAGCAGGTATTCTCGCACCACTGTTCTCACATTTAAAAATAGGCAAATAACTGCAAATATAGAACCTAAAAATCAGCAGAATCACCAAAATATATTCATTTCACAGATAAACGGAAACATGTAGTAGTAAGTGGTAGTATAAGCGATGACAGGAACACATGAAAGCAAAACACCCGAAACCTAATCCAGAATGACTCGCAAATAATTATGCTTTGTCATGTCCCTCCCGTCGAGCTTGCAAGACTCCGCACTGCATGAGTTCAATGAGCATCTGATACTTGGTTAAATAAAGACTCACCATCCTTCTGCGGCCTACTCGCGAAGTTGCTGCATCAATTTAGGTTCATGGTATGGGTTATTCTTGACATCCTCAAGTAGAGCAATCATTGACTGGTAGATGATGCTGTATTCTTTAGTGGAAAATTTTGGGAATGATTTTCCATTGCCATTCTTGATAAAGCCGTCCAGGACACAATGGTACTACAAAAATCAGCTTCAATCAGTTGTTGATAGTGTATAATATAGATGAATAAAAGATACCACAGTGCAAATCAAAGCTAGGCTGTTCAACAGTATCTCCTTCTTGAAAATATCCAGCCTCCTGTGAGCAACACAATAAGATCCAGTATATAAGAAACTGATGGTGGCCTCCCAGAGTGCAGGGTGAGTAGCATTATTAGTTTTCCCCAGTTCATCCACACCATTGCAAAGAAAAAGTGAATTGTGCAAAAGCTCCTTAGCGGTATTCTGTACCTATGTCACACGATCTTGCATAGCGACTTCGGGTGAGGGGATGAGGTTGTATATGGTGGGTGCTATGGCAACTGCTGTTTTCTTCAAATCGGAGTGCCAGGTTGACCAATCTTCATACAGCTAGGATAACAAAATATTAGAATCTGGACATGCGAGAACTGACATACATACCAGTTTCGCCATGTCAGGCTTGTAATTGGGCCACAGACCTAGTATATGTCATGAGTAAAATGTCTTGAGGAAGAAAAGGTCATACCTAGTTTGAGCTGCTTACTGCCTTCAAGTCATTCTACAAGAGATGATGTGAGAGCTTCAGTGACGGAAATGGGTAGATCATCGGCCAAAGTTGGGAATGCATTCTCGATTGTGTGCTGTGTATAGCAATCCCCTTTGGCATCCTCAAGGAAGGCCTTCCAGTGTGGCAGGTACCAGCCAAGTTGAGTGGGCTTGGGCTCAGACAGTTCCTTGGATCTTGGTGCTTTGACCATAGAAGCTTTGGTTTCTGATTCCTCCACTTTGATTGATGTTGTGTCGGAAGATCAGAGGAGATCAAGAAATTTGGGATTAGGAACACAGGGGCATCCATTTTTCTTTTGGTGATGGAGTAAAACATCATCTGGCTTGGGTTCAATGGCCGCCAGCTGCAAAAAAAAGACAGAAAAATTAGCGCACTCCAGGGAAACAAGTGAAACATACCTGGATGTCATCATCGCTGGAGGCACTATCCTCCACAGCCAATGCTATATTATTGTCTTCATCATGGGAATATTGGAACTTGAAGTCTGACGGCAGAGCAGTGGTGACCTGGGGTTGAGATGGTAATACTTTCTTTGAGAAACCTATAACTCATTTAGCACACATGATGACAACCTAACCAGTGACTCACCAGGGTGCGCAGTAAGGTATCCCTTTGATGCTCCCCAACCAACTTCCTGTTCTTTGTCATCAGTAGTACTTGTATCACTACTCTCACTAGACGTGTCTGATTCTGAATCTTTTTGACCACTTCCATCATCTGCTGATCAAAGGGTAGGGTCCAAATTTTGATAGAACATGTGATCAGATTGATGTACAGCTGATGTAGATCTTGAAGGTATTGGTGGCACAAAATCTTTCTTTGTAGATCTAGTAGTGATAGCAGGAAGACACATTGTGGCAACCTTCTCCCTTGCTGTAGCTACATATGGGTTGTTGAGTGCTTGCAAGTCAGGTTCTGTGCCCGGGGGAACAATGTGTTGAGAAAAGCTTGCACCAGCTTCATGTTGATGAAAACTGGATTGGATGTCTGATGCCTCCATGCTCAAGGGAGGGATAACAGCAGTCTTCGTCGCCTTGGCTTTCTTTCCCTGAGCTTTAGTGGAAGTTGCAGCAGGGGGATCCACCAGCTCAGAGGCACTATATGGTGGAGGAGGTTTCTAAATATATTCAGCGTCGACATCTGTAACTATGGGTAGAATAATAGACTTACCTTTGCCCGACTTCCACAACCCTTACGAACTGATTCTGGAGCAAGAGGGTTGACCGGAATGTTCAAATTGAGGGAGGTAGAGCCCTTGGGTTGGCTGGTCCGTGCTGGGGCACCCACAAGGGCACCAATTCTCTCAAGTTGATTGGCTCTACCTCCTGTTCCTGTGCCTGGGTGTCCAGAATGCCGAGAGAGTAAGGGGCTATCTACATCTGGAGTCTGCTGCAACATGGAGAGTGGCATGGCCCCAGCCCGTCATTTCTTGGTTGAAATCTCTTGCCCATCAGAGTCCGTAGCTTTATGCTTTGTTCTCTTCTTCTTAGGGCTACTGCAGGCAGGTATGACTGGGGCTGTAGCTGGGAGTAATAACAAGTAGTACCAATTAAATCAGACACTTACCCAAATGCTTTGTGTAGTCTGGTAGCAGGAATGAGAATGATCATTACAAATAATATCTGGAAATATGAGTCAACTGCAGCCCATGTGTAAAGGTGAAAATTTTACGAAGCTGAAAGTGTGCTTTGAAGATGGCTGAGTCGACTGTGTGTAGGCATAACATAGTTAGTATTAGTCACTAGAAAATGTTAAAGTCCTAAGTGAAGATGTACCATTTGGAAATATTCATGATGTTACAACATGACTCGAATAGAATGCATATCAAATCAAAGTGAGAGAGATTACATAAGTGTTTGCAGTAGAGTCAAGTTTATGTAAGTACATTTCGCTAAACACCTATCCAGTCTTACTCCTTTTTGACTTGGGTACAATTTCTAGGGTCCATTGGTAATCTATGACTCATTTGTTATTATGGCTCGTCTCATCTACGAGTGATTGTGATTCCCCCTCTTTGCCACTGCTTGCCAAGTGTTCTGCCTTGAGGCCTTTAAGTAACCACCGTGAGGCGAGGAGCTCAGGTGATGGCTGATTCATTGGAAGGTTTGTGATATGTCTCTCTAGCATCTCAATTACATCATCAAAGGTTACCTTCATTGGTTCTCTCATCAGATGGTACCACTCCAATGCGACAGGAAGGAGTTTTTTGAAGTATGGATGGAACTGCTTGCTAAGTTCCTCGACATAGTGCTCCATATGCCAGAAGAATGATGTTTTGCTGTCACAGCACAACTTGAATTTGGATGTGGATCATTGATGTGGTATCCAGTCATGAGTATTATCGAGTTTACGTTTCATGCCGAGAGGACCTCTGAATTTGATACAGATCCAGATGAAGATGTAAAACATTGACTTGAGGTCATTGTGTTAGCCATGTCTAACCAGGGGGGCAACCTTTGCTTTCGAACAGAAGGCTTTCTTGTGTTCATCCACTCCATCCAGATCACAAAGGTGGAGCTGCAAGAGAAGCACTTGGGGCATGAAGGGTAATGTGCCCTAAATGTTCATTATTAAAACATAGTATTATTTGGCAAAATAAAAACACTCACTGTGCCCCCAACAGCATAGTTCCTGCTCTTTAAAATATTAACAGCGAACTCCCAGCTAGGCATTAGTATGGGTATGGGTAACCCACATGGGTCATGGGTATGGGTAGTTGGTGGGTTGGGTATGGGTTATGGTCTCGTGACCCACCACTCCACCCATACCCACACCATGGATCATGTGTCAAGCCTCAAATGTCAAACTCTGGCAGGATTGTGTAAGAACTATACATAGTTTTCGTATACAACGTAAACCTTAATATCAACAAGTCATCAGTCACTCCTATCACCTCCAATAGCCAAATCCTTCCTAATGTTCAGTAAATATCAGCCGAAACTCACAGAGAAGGACAAGGAATTCTTTCAGTCAGTCAGGAAGGCTGTCAAATGCAAGCAAAGTGATGGTGACGAGCTCACCTTCAATAAGGCCAAACAAGCACCTGTTGCAGCTGCAAGTGACTCTGAACTTGAAGAAAGCTTAGGGCTATCTATATCAAAAAGGCTCTCATCAGAAGCAAGAGCTATTCTGTTATCATTCGAAGTGAAGATGAGGAGAAGGAACTTAATCATGATGCTGACATCATCGATATTTCTGCACCAACAGTCCTCCAACACAAGTGCCAAGGCCAATGAGTCTGAAAGTGAGACTGAGTGTCCCAAGGAGGATTCCGAGGCTGAAATGAGTTAGTACCTGTACACAAAACTATTGCTTAATTAATATTATGTTCACAGAGTGCTTGAGCAAAGAATGACTCTCATCTATCTATGCATTCTTTGAGCCCATTCCCTATCATTGGACACAAGAACCAACACCATTACCATGATAGTTATTTACCTCTGTTGTCACTTTATGAACTGGTGTTCGCAACCTTCCTTTTATGGAATGAGACCGCATAGTATAACATTTGACTTATGATGACAACAGGATTTCAACACTAAATGATACTAAACCCTTGGGTTACCCACCATGGGTATAAGACCCACCAAACTCATACTACCCACACCTACAACCCATGACCCACCGAACCCTTAGGTGGTGGGTATAGGTAATTGGTGGGTATGGGTATGGGTCAGCTCGTGGCAACCCATGGGTTACCCATGCTATTGCCTACTCCCAGCACTTCAGTCAACCACTCAAAAAGACCTCTTAGATCTATGTGTTTGTGGCTAGCAAAGGACCTAGTGGGTGTGCTTTAGGATGGTATTCCCAATATTTTACCCTATATGCTGGGATATCCCAGCCCACACTGAATACAGTGTCTGGGCTATCCCTAGTATCTATTTGTGATCTTTCCCAATCCCATTCAGGACCACTTTAGTATGTCTCTTGGACATCCCAGTACATTTATTGGGTGGACTTTCCCATCATAATTATGAGCGACAGGGGTCCTTTTGAAAACATTTTTGGGACAATAAAATCTACAATTTGTACATTTATGGGAAGCAATAGTAGGTGTATATATATGTAAGGCAATTAGTATAAAATATTCAGAGATGGGAAAGCCCAGATAGTAATAGAAGGACAGGCGGGAGAGCCCAGATGGTATGAAAAGAGTTGGTGGGAAAGCCCAGATAATGTGAAAATAGTAGATGATATAGAGAGTATTAGCAAGACAGCCCAAACACCAATGCTAACATTATTATCTCTAAAAAATTCCTCTCCCTTGGTTCACTTTATAAGGAACTTCAAAGATATCTGTAATACCATGTAGACTTTTGATGATCTCATTAAGTGAACTTTTCAATGTAATTATATGAAGTAAAGATATATATCTTTTATTTCACTATCAAAACATTCTGTCATTTAATGTACATGTATACTAATTGCCTTATATATATATACACCTACTATTGCTTCTCATAAATGTACAAATTGTAGATTTTATTGTCCCAAAAATGTTTTCAAAAGGACCCCTGTCGCTCATAATTATGATGGGAAAGTCCACCCAATAAATGTACTGGGATGTCCAAGAGACATACTAAAGTGGTCCTGAATGGGATTGGGAAAGATCACAAATAGATACTAGGGATAGCCCAGACACTGTATTCAGTGTGGGCTGGGATATCCCAGCATATAGGGTAAAATATTGGGAATACCATCCTAAAGCACACCCACTAGGTCCTTTGCTAGCCACAAACACATAGACCTAAGAGGTCTTTTTGAGTAGTTGACTGAAGTGCTCCCAGTCTATCAGCATCCCGTGGGTGTCTTTCCCATCGTCCTCAATCATAGTATTGTTCAAACTGCAGTCACAATGGAGAACCTTGCGCTCTTTCACCGCTTCCTTCTGAACTAAACATTAGGTCAGTAAAATCTTCGATATACAGTGGCTCAAAAAGTGTCCCAATGTTTGTAGGTTTTCATGTAATTGTGTTATTGCGAGCCAGGGTGTGAGAATCTGACTAAGTCAAAGGGAGGTCCCAAAAAGCTCCGCTTCTCGGCTACAATTATGTCCCCTATAGCGTGAGAATCCATTGACGCCGTGCGAAGATATGGCTATTTTAATTAGGTGACTCATTGGGACACTTTTTTGAGTTTGAATCAATTATACATAATCTCTATAATTCTAGTACTTAGTGTTTCCTCCCTTAGCTTTAATGACTGCTGCTACCCTCCTAGGCATACTTTCTATCAATTTCTGACACTCCTCCTTAGCAATCTTTCCCCACTCTACTACAACTCTCTTCCATAACTGAAATAGTCCATTAAGTGGGTCTTGATAGGCAGCAAGCATTCTCTTGAGTAATTCCCAAAGATGTTCAATGGGATTGAGGTCTGGAGACTGTGCTGGCCATGATAGGACAGTAATATCATGGTCCTCAAACCATTTGGTGGCCAACTTTGAGGTATGCTTGGGGTCATTATCTTGTTGGAAGATAATGTTTTCTTCATCAATACCTGATTCTTGCATGCTTTTGAGCAGACACTCCTCCAGAATGGAGACATACTGCTCTGCATTCATCCTCCCCTCCACCTCACATAGAATTCCCACCCCATGCCACCCCATGCAGCCCCACACCATCATATTTCCTCCTCCAAACTTAAGAGTACCTTTCACTTCTTTTTCTCCAAGTGGATCTCCTGCCTTTTTCCAAACATACTCTTGACCATCTGACCAAATAACTCTCTTCCAGTCCTCTATAGTCCAGTGCTGGTGCTTTAAAGCAAATACTAGTCTCCTTTTCCTATGGGCTGGTGACAGTAGGGGTTTCTTCTTCTTGACTACAGCTTTAAGATTGGCTTCCTTGAGGGTGTTCCTGACTGTTTGAGTGGAGATAGTGGTAGTGATGATAGAATTGATGTATTTTGTGGCTTGAACAGCAGTAGAGGCCTTTCCAGATATAATATGATGAACAAGAGCTCTTTTGTCATGCAGAGTAAGTTTAGAAGGACGACCCATTTTGACATTTTCTTTGTTGGGAATATTCTGGTTGATAACCCTGGCAATAGTTGACTTCTCCAGACCAGTTTTGGAGGCAATCTGCCTGATAGATAGACCAGAGGTGGAGAGAAAAAAGATATTATCTCTTTGAGAAGAGGAAATAGACTTCATGCTGATTATGAGGGACATGATGTTATTGGAAGGGTTTATATATGTACAGGATATTAAAATGAGACCATATTGTCAATATGGGACCATTTATATATATATTTGTAAATGGTGTCATGTCTAAATGATCTGATTTTCATATTTTAATAGAAACTCAAAAAAGTGTTCCAATGAGTCACCTAATTAAAATAGCCATATCTTCGCATGGCGTCAATGGATTCTCACGCTATAGGGGACATAATTGTAGCCGAGAAGCGGAGCTTTTTGGGACCTCCCTTTGGCTTAGTCAGATTCTCACACCCGGGCTCGCAATAACACATTTACATGAAAACCTACAAACATTGAGACACTTTTTTGAGCCACTGTATTGTAATATAGAACTTACTTTTGATGATATTGCGTATTGAGCTGAGCAACTCTAGCTTCAAGCAGAATTTATGCAAAGGCCTTGCATGTGGCTTCAAGATGAGGTGACCATGAGTCCAGGATGTGCCCTTAAGGCTGTGCAAAACTTTGTACCGATAGTTTGAAGTTCAATCAACTTTGTTCCCAGACTCAACAAACCAATGCTCGATGAGGGTAGGAACACCGCAGGCTCCACTCATCTTCTTCATCATGTTGATCTCATTCATAGCCTCCTCTCCCCCCAGTACCCAGTGGTCCTTGATAATGAACTCTTCTTTGTCTTTCCTGGCCAAGTAACAAATGGAACCATGCCTAATAAGACCCTGGCTCGAGAATATAATTTCCAGCATATCGTAGTAATGGTCATAGACGCGAATCTTGCCAATAGGTTCTGGAAGGGGTGCGCACAGAGGGTCATCATCATCATTTTTAATTTTAGTGGTGTCCTGAGATGTGGTCTCATTATCCTGACCCTCGCCCTCATTCTCGCCCTCGCTCTTGTTCTTGCTCTCAACCTCACTCTCACCCTCACCATTTCCCTCACTGGCAGCCTTGACTTCCAGATCTTTTAAGTCCTTCAGGATGTGGATGGAGAGCCAATTCAAGTGTGATTTGATTGTTTGATCAAGTGTGTGCCTAAAGATGTTAATTGAGGGGTCGTACCCAACACATTCAAGTTCACTGAAGACCACACTTGAGAATATTTGTAAGTACTTGTTAGGTTATTGGTCAATATGAGTACAAGCACTTATGACACCACCCAAGTGGTCATACAAGTGGACGCAAAGTTCATGATAGCCGGTGCACAGTGAGATCATCAGAGTGAATCTTCTCCAGGGCTGATGTTTCAGAAGTAGGTATGCTTTAGTGTTGAGAGTCTTTGCAAGGGTATCCAAAGGTGTGTATGTGCTAGCAGTCCATCTGGTTTGCATTTGATATCTTCACCACGTACTGGGTGTGATGAGTTTGCTGTGCTCCAGTTGCATGACAAATGGTGTTTTTGAGCAAGTTCAGGCTGTTTTGCAAGGAGGGCAACAGAGATGACATTAAAGAATGATCCGAAGATATGTTCTGTCAAAGATTGATTGAAGTCTTCCTCACCGGCCATCGCTTCATTCCCATCATTGGATGAGTCCAATGAACCCTTGCTATTGCTGGATGGCATCTGGTCATCAAATGACCCTGCTCCACCAGACAATATGGACTCTGAGAGGCTGTTTTCGGTGATGTTTGTGTCTTCAGTGGTTGGTGTATCAATGGTTTGGTAGGTTAACTTTTCCACATTTGTAGCAGCTTCATTGACCAAGATCCACTCTCCCTTGTTACTTTTGACTCCTTTCTGCTCCCTGTGTTTTGTAGGTGAACAGTTGCATTCATATGATGATGGCAGCACCCAATTCCACCAATGCTTTTCAGTATCGTACAGGTTGATCATGGGAACCCCATCTGGTTCAACACTGAAAGTATGAAGACCATCAAGCCTTGCACTTTGAGGAACACTGCTCAAAGGAATTGCAAGCTCTTCTGCTACAGGAATCTCAGTGGTAAAGGATTGGAAGATATGAGTCAACAGGTGGTAAGTTCGTCTTTGTTAGCAGGTTGATGTTCCTCGAGTATCAAATGATTAAGTTCAGAATTTGTGAGTTTGTCCATTGTTTGGGTGTCATGTATTGGGGGAGCCATCACAAAGGATGACAGCTTCTTCCCAAGGTTAATTATTCGAAAATGACAAGCAGATGGCATAGCATGCAGGATGAACAATGGTTGCTATGTACACTCAGAATAGCATGAAATAGGTACTGTGCACTACCATAACCAAAAACTGATCTTTTCTCGAACCAAATACTATGCTGATAGGGCGAAGAAGGTGCTTGTTTCCCAAAACTCATTCAACCAAAGCTCTGCAGCATGCTCCATACTATTATGTGCGGTGAGGCGCTTATCTGCAGTGACTTCAAGATGAGGGACCAGATTAATAATTCGAACATTTTGCCCACTTGAGCAGGTGCAGTTGTGTATTTGCATCGCGATCATTTGATAAGTCAAAGCATTGAACATAGGTGAGAAATCGATCTTGCCATGACCATTGCGTGCCACTCTTACCAATAGGCCACACGATAAGCCTGATCTGAGTGATGGTGTGATCTGCAGGGTAAGTAGTCGATGTTAGAACGAGTGTCGTTATATGAGACAGAAAACTTGCCTGAGAGACAACTACTGGGCCATGAATAGCCCACAGTTGTCTCCACAATAACTGTGTCATAATGACCCAGGATCCAGGGACCACTGGGTGGAGCACAATTAAGTGTTTGAGCAGGTTTGATGGTATGAGTGTTGTGGAAGTCTGTCTTGCAAGTGAATCTTGAACCAGACTTGAAGTTTGTCGAAAGGAAGGTCAGCTGTAGGTCCAGCTCTCCTTGGGCCACCTATGGCATGAATGTGCTGATGTCCATGAGTAGCCTCACACTGGAGAAAGTCAGCAATGGCTAGCCACAGATCAGGTAAGTCAAATTTCACAGTGACTTCATTGATGGTAATACTCCTGATGGACGGATCATACCCAAGATTAAAGGCTGTGCATCCAACACTAAATGAGCACAATGGAACAGGAACTGAACCCTCATCTCTGCACCAGAGAGCTCTGGCGATAGCGAAATAGTTTGTGATTGGATGTATATGTCCAGGCTGCTGTGGTTCAGGGGAAATTTCATGTATGTCAACGTCATCATCAATGTCAGGGTCTACATCCTTCAGCTCCTCAGCACACTGTCCACGATCTAAAAGGCTCATAGCGAGCTCAAACCAGCAACACTTGTCTGCACAGTCCAGGTGTCAACATATCTGAGGATTGTAGTTGTTATTATTGCTAGACCTCGCTGGGTCTTTGATTTTGGTGATATGAGCATGTTCAGTAACATCCACGGACCACTGTCTTGTGACACCAGATGTATGGATACTGGGAACAACACTGCATAAGTTCTAACTTGGGAATATGCCAGTGAGTGATGGGTCTATTGCCCTTTCCCCGGTGAGCCCCAGCATCAATAATTGCATCCTTGTTTGCATGGAACTCATGGAATGTGCCCGAGATGCACTTGAGATCGTCGTCATCAAGGTATAGCGACTGAACGAGATAACAGAATTGCATGAGCGCACGTAAGGCAGTGATGATACATGCAGGTGCTGCGTCCATGCACACTGCAATGATATATCGCTGCATGTCTCATTGACAGCAACCAGTGACCTGTTTAAGCTTCGAGATGCCTCCAAGAAAGTGACAATAACCAGTGGTGGGCTGTAAGATGGAAAATCAGAAATTGATCTTGGATTCTCCAACAGCACAGATGAGCCATTATGCATTGTGGTCGAAAAATTCCTTATGCAAGTGGTGTAGGGATTCTGGTGTAAAGAAATGGGAGGGCTCTGCGAGTATCCAGTCCTGAAAGAACAGTTTGGCAACACCATTCAGACAAAACTTCTGCACTTCACAGAAGAAAGCCTCAAGGTCAAGGAGATTGGCATGTGAGTGGACAATGGCAAGCTGCGCAAGAGTCATTGATTTCATGCGGGGTTCATGCTGGAAGTCATCCCCAAAATGCTTGTACATTGCCATGGTCACTGGTGACATCTTTCCACCGACAGTCTCCAGCATCATGGCTTCCGGGGTGTCAGCAATATAACTTGCCAGTGCAGTGAAACAGTAACGACTCTGCCCAATGGGGTCAGATAACATGATGCCCTTTCGAGCAGCCTGCTTGAGTGATTTGAGAACAATGTCTAGACATTGGTGTATGAGGCGATCCTCCAATACACCTTTCATCTGCTTCCTCTTATAAATAAACTTCAGGACCAGCAGTAAGGCAGTGAGAACGAAAGAACTTGATGAAGATTTGAGTCATGTATTCATATGTATATTGACCAAGCTAATAAGAAGTAGATGAGCTACATGATTGCCTGTTAAGGCAGTAATGTTCGTTTTGTTGGATGATAGGATAGTACCAAGAAGAGTTGCACCGTGTGGTATTGCTGACTTCAAAAATACATTAGTCAAACACATTGAAATTCAATTTGTTATGCACTTGCATGTCCCAAGCGTCATTTCCCATCATCCATTCAGTATAGATGTGACACAGTGTAAGCTGGATGCTTATGACGCGCGTTGTTTGTGCTTGCTTGCCTTGTTGATTATCTTCCTGTTGCGCTGCTGCCTTGTATCTTATCTACTACCATCCACACCGTCAATCCACAACCTGTCCACACTTTGTCCTGTGCCGTTTCTGAGTGTTTCACTCCTTCCGGAGTGGTGTCCACTTTTTTTTAAGTGTTCGACTAAGTCGAAATCTCCACAGTGTTCAACACTGTCATCGTTGCTGATCCCTGTTACCGCCATATATCAAACCGTACCTGCCGCCTTCCCGCTATACAAAAGTGGTCCTTAAAAGGTCACTGGTACACACAGACATCGTGCCTTACAAAAAGGTACTGCCGAAAGGGACAGTTGCCCCTCTCACTCGCGCTAGAGCAAAAGCTGGGGATAACTCAACCTTAAATACCGAGATGTTACCCTCGCAAACACCACGTGCACCCTCACCAGACTCATCATCTTCGTCTTCATCCGACGGTTCCTACTTCAATTTCATGTTCGAACCACGCGCATATACCCACATGAAGACCGCAAGAGTTGAGCAGTCGGCATGCACGAAGCCACCAACTCTCACGGCCAGCGAACTCACACCAGAGGTCGTTCGAGCCTGGGATATGGCATGCCAGAACTACTTTACTCACAAGGAAGTAGCTGAAGACGTACAAGTGAAGAAAGTCGCTTGGGGCATGCTAGACCCGCGGCTTCAGGATTGGTACATGACTAATCATGTGGCCCTGGACGCAATGTCCTTTGCAGACTACATGAAAGACTTTCGAGCGAACTGGCTTGATTCTGATTGGGCAGCGCAGGTGCACAAGAAACTGCTCAGCTCGTCCCAAGGGACAAGGCCCTTCACCGAATGGGCGGCAGAACTCCAAAGCACCAACGCGCTTTTGACGGGAGAGACTTGCTATTTCTCAAAGACCCTCATGCGAAACCAATTGGAGGCCAACATGAATGACGACCTCTCCGCAGATTGCAGACATGAGGGAGTTCATGACGAGGTTGATTTAAAAAAATGGATGGAGAAAGTAAAGTGTCTCGACGATAAACACTTACGCACTGTCGCAAGGCAAAAGGAAGCTATCAATGCGGCCTTTCTCTCCAGGAACAAACAACCCTTCGGCGTGCGTACAAACAACCTGAAAGCTGGCCAATCATCAGACGCGACATCCAAAACGTACACTCGTCTCCCAGCCCTCACCGAGAACGAAAGAGCGCTACTTAACAAACATGAAGGGTGTTTCAAGTGCAGACGCTTCTACGTCACTTGCCGCTCCAAAGACTGCAAGAACGGTTTCCCTGACGGCGCTACCTACAAGACATTGACAGAGGCTATGGCTGCCAACCGCAAGAACAAGTCCTCGAAAATGTCAACCATTGCATCTGTGGAAGCTGTTGCTGCTGTTGTAATGCCGTCTGCTGTCCTTGGCAACGGTACAGACTCGGGAGAAGAGTATGTTGAAATACAGTCTTCATTCCCAGTTGACGCTGTTTCGCCTGCTTCTCCTACATCCTCCGAATCTGAAAACCCCTCATCTTCAGTGCCTTTAACCACACCACAGCTTATGTGGCAATGTTCACTTATTGGCTCTGTTTCTCTGTTTTCTGTTTCTGTATCTGCGCTAATTGATGACGGTTCTTCCCTAGTTCTGATTGATGATGCTCTCGTCAGGAAGCTTGGGTTACGACGTCGAAAATTGCACATTCCAATTCCTGCGATGGTAGCCATGCAATCAGACACGAACTCCCCCCCTTTTTCCCTCCATGAATACATTAGAATTAAGCCCACTTCAATTAATTGTGACTGGACTTCACGGACCATAAAGGCTGTTATCGCACCGAATTTGTGCACTTCCCTTCTCCTTGGTGGCCCTTTTCTTTCTCATAATTGCATTGTTATCGACCACGAATTACGCACTTGTATTGTAAAAGATTCCTTGTACGACTTATTAAACCCCCCTTCACTTCCTTCCTTTTTACCTGTACCACCGCCTGTTACTCCTTCTGTCGCCCAAGTCAATGTGTACCGGAAATCACTCGCACTCGAATTGAAGGACATTCTTGTCACACAGCAAACCAAGATCGAGGACAAATGCAAGACGATCCAACCGGTCAACATTGGCGCAGTGTTACAGAAGAGGATAGAAAGCTTAGCGTTTGAGGAAAAGCTTGCGCAACTAAATATTGACGCTAAGACTCGTTTCGCGGATTGTTTCCCTGTGGATATTCCACACATTGACGACTTACCAGATGATGTTTATTATCGCATCAAACTTCGAGACACGAATCAAGTAATTCAGATGCGAGGCTACAACTGCCCACGCAAGTACCGAGAATCGTGGCACACCCTGCTACAACAACATCTCGATGCTGGACGGATACAACCATCTTCATCTCAGCATTCAGCCCCGTCATTCATCATCCCAAAAGCAGACCCAACGGTATTACCCAGATGGGTAAACGACTTTCGAGTGCTTAATGCCAATACCGTGCCGGATAATTTCCCTTTACCGAGAATCAACGAGATCCTGATGGATTGCACTAAAGGGAAAATTTTCGGGAAAATGGATATGACTAACTTGTTCTTTCAAACAAAGGTCCACCCTGACGACAGACACCTACTTGCTGTACACACACCTTTTGGACTACACAAGTGGTGCGTCATGCCAATGGGCGTGCGCAACGCGCCGGCAACACATCAATGTCAAATGGTGGCAGCACTCCATCCACTGATCAGTAAAATTTGTCATGTTTACCTGGATGACATTATCATTTGGTCACAGACTGTTGAGGAACATGTACTGAACGTCAATGCAGTATTGGAAGCACTACGTGCAGCGTCACTCTTTTGCTCCCCCAAGAAAACATGCCTTTTCACAACGGAGGTGCATTTTCTCGGCCATGTCATATCGGACCAAGGTATCGAGGCAGACCCATCCAAAATCTCTCGTATTATCAACTGGCCGGCTCCAAGGAGCGCAAACGAAGTTCGCGCATTCCTTGGCCTAGTATGCTATGTTGCAGATTTCCTCCCCAATCTTGCCGAGTATACGCGTGTGCTGAACGGACTGACAATGAAGGCAGTTGATCTATAATGGCCCGGCTGGTCGGCAGAACATGATGCCGCATTCCGCGCAATCAAGGAACTGGTAATCTCTCGTCGAGTACTGACGACTATCAACCATGATGAACCAGGTGACAATAAAGTTTTCGTGACCACTGACGCAAGTGAGTTTTGCACAGGTGCAGTGTTATCATGGGGACTGACATGGGAAACGGCTCGACCAGTAGCCTTTGAGTCTTCACCATTCAAAGATGCAGAACTACGCTACCCAGTACACGAAAAGGAATTACTTGCGATCATACGAGCACTGAAGAAATGGAGGGTAGAACTTCTTGGAACACAGTTTGAAGTTCGCACAGACCATAGAACACTTGAAAGCTTCATGTCCCAGCGGGATTTGTCATGACGACAAGGTCGTTGGCAAGAGTTTCTCGCCGCATATGACTTTAAGGTTGTATACTTGAAGGGTACTGACAATGCGGCGGCAGATGCACTATCACGCACGGACTTTCCTGAACCAGATACAGCGCTGCACAATACGCATCTGGATCTTGACACCGCAGAAACAACAACACAGGTCGCATCTGTACTTACAATTCAATCGGACAAGACACTGCTTGAGACCATCAAATGAGAATACCCTAACGACCCATTTACGGCGAAGCTAGACGGTCTCCTCGACTCCCTCCCAGGACTAGAGAAGAAAGATGGGTTATTTCTCATCAGTGACCGACTCGTCGTTCCATGTACTGCTAATCTTCGAGAAGACTTATACCATCTTGCGCATGACAATCTCGGACATTTTGGAGGAGACAAATCTTATGAAGCTCTCCGCACGTCTTTCTACTGGCCAAACATACGAAAAGACTTACTAGAAGCTTACATACTGACATGTGACTCATGTCAACGCAATAAATCACCCACCACAAAGCCACCAGGACCACTACATCCGCTACCAATCCCAGACAAGCGAGGTGACTCAGTCGCTATCGACTTCATAGGCCCACTACCTGAAGATGAAGGATTTAACATGGTAGCCACCATTACTGACTGTCTCAATGCTGATATTCGATTAGTTCCATGTCGCAAGAACATCACTGCTCCAGAATTTGCAAGATTATTCTTCGACAAGTGGTATTGCGAGAACGGTTTACCACTCAAAGTTGTATCAGACCGAGACAAGCTATTTGTATCTTCATTCTGGAAATCATTGACGCAACTAACGGGTATCAAATTGAAAATGTCATCAGCATTCCATCCACAATCTGACGGCGTGAGCGAGCATACAAACAAGACGCTTAACCAATGCATACACTATCACGTCGAAAGAAACCAAAAAGGCTGGGTCCGTGCCTTGCCTCGTGTGCGCTTCAACATCATGAATATGATCTACCACAGACGATGAACATCTATCCCACCTTCCATGTCTCCCAACTGCGCGCCTACCACCAAAACGACCCTTGCTTATTTCCCAACCGTGAACAAAAACGTCCTGGTGCCATCGTGACAGCCGAGGGCGCCATAGAATGCTTCATCGAAAAGATTGTCGACGAAAGAAGAAGGGGAAGAGGTGCCCAATACCTCGTACGGTGGCAAGAAGAAGGACCGGAGGCTGACGAGTGGCTGCCGAGGAGAGAACTGGAAGAGACAGAGGCGTTAGACATCTGGCTAGGAGAAAGGGAGGCTGGTGTTTCATAGGGTGGAGGAGTGTAAGCTGGATGCTTATGACACGTGTTGTTTGTGCTTGCTTGCCTTGTTGATTATCTTCCTGTTGCACTGCTGCCTTGTATCTTATCTACTACCATCCGCACCATCAATCCACGACCTGTCCACGCTTTGTCCTGTGCCGTTTCTGAGTGTTTCCCTCCTTCCGGAGTGGTTTCCAACAGCCTCTCTGCAGTGGTGTACACCTTGCAAGATGTGAAGTCCATATGATTGTGAAATAATGGGTGGTTGAAGATACTTGCGATACACTCTAGTGGGTCACACCAATAGAGAATTACAGGTGACTTAGTAGGATGTGACATAGGAATGATTTGGGACTTCCAATGTGGACCACTGGGTAGCATTTCTGCTCGACCTTGAAGTTCTTTGGCCAAGCAAAATGACAAGGGTAAATCTTCAATCTAAAAGGGCCTACAGTCAAGGGAGAGCAGCAAGTTTAAAGTTCAGACACTGACCATGTCAAGCGATAGGAAAGAGTCAATCTTCTCCATACTCAAACCAGAACACAGTAGCCATGTGGCAACCTGCCAGTTTCTCCAACTACTGAATGGAAAATAAAGATTTGTTTTGCGATATATGCTGATACCGAGCATTCTTATCAGCACAGGTCTGGATCTTGAGCATGCACAGTAGGTGGTGAGTGGATTTTGAGTGAAACTAAACTGATTTCATTTGTAGGTGGCGACTTTGTGTGGATAATGGGAACTTAAGTCAACATGCAATGAATGAGCAGCAAGCAAACACCTTGACATGCAGGAATAGTCTCCAGCATCAGATTGAAGAATGGACCGAAATTCAAGTTTTATATATGCCATGTGTATCTTAACTACATGCTACTGGTATTGGCCTCATTCACCCCCTCAATAGTGCTCAAACTAGCAATGAAGAGAGCATCTGTCCAGAGCCAAAGCCCAACTCTGCCAGACCCAAAGATTTTCAGTTGCTATTCCCTTCCGACATCTGTGACTTTGCAACATGTGATTCAAAGCTTCTTCAAATAGAGTGGTCTTTACATTCCACACAGGCCAATGATGCTCTGTATGAGTGTCATTCTCATATACACCTTTACCATCAGCTCTTGCAGTTTAAAAGCTGACACCTACGTGGACAAAGTGCCAACACTCACGCACATAGGATGATCCAAGCTGTGGAGAAGTGGCTGGTCCTCAGCCATGATAAGTATTCACATGCTCATAGTGCGCTGATCTGCCTTTCAAGGCACCTTGATCGTGTCAAGTGGGATTGTAAGTTGCAGGTATTGAAAAAATCTGAGCTCAGACCAATAGGCAACCTTGGGGGACTGACTCAGGGCACAGTAATCATGTCATGGATCTGGCTTACGTATGGGATCTCTTCTGAGTCACATAACAGTGAGGGGCTGCAAGACTGTAAGTGCTTATGTAGCAATGTTTTTGTTCTGAGTCATACTCATTTTATGATCGATTTAGCACTCCACATTGAATGATACAAGACAAGGGCTCGACATACCAGATGGTTAGAAGAAATACAACTACTGCAAGTAGAAATGCACTGTGTGTTAGCATTCTTCGCATGGGAAGCCAACTGCTAGGATAAACGAGCAACCCTTCACATAATGGACTGGTCAGAGGATACAGAGGGGTTGACAGCATATGCAAAGCGCCAAGCTGCTATCTGGCATGCCTTGTCTGCTCATTTCTCAGAGATGTGGTCTAATGTGGGAGTTCTGGTAAGTGCTGGTTTGGATGATGGTGCAGAAGACCAGGAGGATAATGAACCTTCTATTGATGAACCTCCCTATGAAGATCTTGATGAGGTTGATTAATATCATTCTGTACCTTCATGTGTAGTCAGATTTAATCAATCTTGCATCTCAGATTCTCAACGATGCTTGACATTTACAGTGCAGCCTGGGTATCCTCCATTAAAGTGACAAATGTGCTGGCTGTCAAACAGAGAATCATATAGATCACTAGCCTACAGAGATGTATCATTTAGAATGGATAATTGAGCTAATGGATGTATTCCAGTTTTAGGGCTATAGCCCACAATGATATATCCATACATCAAGATGGGGTGTTAAATGAACAGTGGCATCGCAGCACACCTTCCTAATATAGTCAAATTTATGATATGATATTCTAATCAACATATTTCAAGCCTACAGAAAGTGATCCAGTACAGCTTTTTCTCTCTCATTTCTCAGCACAAAGTACAGTTTAATTTTTGTCCAAAGGGGTCCCTCATAGTTTAAATATCAAATATTTTTGTCACATTTTGTACAACACATAAACCTCTCCTAAATATCAATAACCTTGATGTGTGAGCACAGTGGACTAGGGGTCTCATGGGCAAGAGAGATGAGAAGAGAGTCCCACGGCTGTTTCCAAAGCTTAGTCAGACGAGGTTGGCAGATTCACACACGAACATGTAGCATAAGCATTCATCCCAGTAGCAGCCTCACAGAGCCAGTTCAACCCATCTCATCATGGTGAACAGAGAAAGTTCGACACAACCGTGCTCAGCATAGCATTAGCACTCAGCCGCAGTTTTATCACAGTCATTCTTTGCAATCGTCCAATCAGAAAAGGAAGAACCCTCGATTCAGAAACACCAGCAGCCTTATTACAAGTAAAAGCAGTTTTTTTATGTTGTGTTATGCCTAAAAGGCCAAGCTAGACAGTAGGTGTTCTCAGAACACCTGCACATATTACAAAAAGGGCTATGTTTCACTTCAAGTGTTTACATAGATTCCCATCAGAAACTGATGGCCAGTAGCTTAAGACCCAGAGCATCAATGGGACTTGCAGTAACTAATGTTCACTCAAAAACCAACTGGGTGGAGTGGTTAACAGACACATCCATTGCTTCTTCTCCACTCAATACGCCCGGAGCATCCTCACTAAATACACCATACCGTGCAGAGAGTTCACCTCTGAGCAGTCTCGAAGATGAAGACCAAAACAATGTCCTGTTCCCAGAGTTAGAGGTCCCAGAATTGGATCTAGACTTGATTCCACTCAATTTCAAACCACTACCACGGTATATGAAAAGAGAGCAGCTCAAATCAACTTCTATGGCACCGGACTACGACTTAAACAGGTTTGTCATGATCGCACAAGCCAAGAAAGAGATGCCTATGGAAACACCACAGATATTCAATGGTGACAGACGTACATCAGAGAACCAAGCTGATTTTTTAAAGTTGTTTAACTGGGCAATGAGACAGCAATCAATTATCATGAGCACGGACAAATTAGATGCATCTGGAGATTACCTAGGGACGGGCTCACAAGCCGAAATATGGTTCAAAGCTCTTCTGGTGGCAGATAAAACCACATGGCCAGTGTTCATTGCAGCATTCAAAAGATGCTGGCCACTGATTGTAATCGTGGAAAAGACTAAAGCAGAATATGAGAAGGAACTGCTGGAGTTTTTATTGACAGATAAGGAGGTTGGAATGAAAACCATGCTATATGATCATGAATGCTGGACACACATGGCCTGGGCCACCAAGGCATTGCAGCTGGCAACAAGTGCAGGAATTGTGTTAAGCATGTCCATGATTTGGCAGGTTAGATGGAAGCTCCCGAGCATTGTGAAGGACTTCTTTGGAGAAAAAAGAACAGCATGTGAAACAGGAATTGGAAGTCAATATACTGTGCACAGATGTAGCCCGGTTACAACAACATAACATAACACAAAACCCAATTGCAGCACTTCAGAACCAGCTTTTTCAAATGTCCATCAATCCTTCAGTAATATCAAACGCACCTCACAGTAGCAACACGATCACATGTACAGCAGCACAAACGACCACAGCACATCCATCGTCAACTTTCACTCATCAGCCAACAACAGGCTTGCAACAGTTGGTGCTAACGGATGATGTCAAGACAATGGTGAGACAGCTCATAGCATTATACACATATCATCAGGATACAGCTGGAGGGTGCGCAGCGTATGCTACGCAAATAACTCAATGGAATGCAAAATGGGGAGAGAATGGCAGGGTCACACACAAAACAGGATACCTGCTTAAACCAGGCACAGCAGTGATTGCTTCCAGTGAATGCTTCATGTGTGGCATGCATGGACATAATGGGAGGAACTGCCCAATACCACTGGACCATCAGGAAAAGTTAACGTGCAAGGAAGCAGCATGGAGAGCGATAGTAAGCAAGGTTTTAGGAATGTTCAATTGAGTGACGGCTACAATGATAGCATTAGTATTTGGTCATGCACAACAGCCAGTATTGGCTTGGATTGAGGAAATTCAAGAAGGAAATGAGGGAAAAGAGAATGAGTCGACGTAGAAAGCGATATCACGTTGACCCAACATTCCAGGAATATCCAAGCTAAAGAAAGAGTCCTTGCGTGGGGAGAGGCACCGCACGAGGACAACCTGGTTATGCTATGCCCCAATCCTGTCAATGAATGTATAGATAATGCATCAGTTGCAGTTGTACCCACTTCAACAGAAACAATTCAGATCGTTGATTTGTACACACCTTATGTTCTAATGGGACAATGGAGGCCGATAGGACATTAGCAAGGGCACCAAGACAAGAGACGGGTAAAGCAGTTATGGCGAAGGGAGGAGAACTGTGGGCAAACCAGGGATCAAGGAGAACAGATGATGGGGAAGGTGGAATGAGCCGTGAGGGAGGGGGAGACTGTACGACAGAGCGATATTGGTGTGATCACCACCCACGAAGCCCTGAACCCAGCTGAACAGTTACTGGGAGAACTGCCGGAGTTACCATTAGTGAATCAAGATCCTTCAATATATACATGGCACACAAACCCATTTAAACCAGAGAGAGTAGCAGAGATCCTTCGACAAGTCACAATTGGAGATGATCTTATGGAGGCCGAACAACAGGAATTGGAACAATTTGTCAAGGATAATGCAGATTCATTTGCACTATCATTATGGAAGTCAACATAATACCAGGAGCACAGCTAAATCTCCATGTACCAGAGGGCAAGACATTCAATTTACACACTCATCAGAGACCACTAACTCCGGAGCAATCGTGTTTCTACAATGAAAGGGTAGAGGAGATGTTGAAAGCGGGGATTATAGATCGGGTGCCACCAGAATTATTCAAGTGCATGGCTACAATGGTCATAGCTCGGAAAGCTCACGAAATGAACGGCTTATTGGAAGAAGAGCTAAAACAGAGAGTTAATGATCAGTGTCAAAGCACAGGGAAGGTTCCAGCATTTGAACTACCTGAGCGTGAAGTATTGCAGACACAGAAAGTTGCAAATTCAAATGAAGGACTGAGGAAGTGGAGAGTATGTGTCATATCCCATATTCCGGACCTATGTCCGACAATGTTCCCATGCTTCATCTGGACCTCCGGACCCCTGTATCTCTATACATTGGACCTCCATACCTCTGCAGCTAGCCTGCATCATTCGCCCTTTGTCCCATTGCCCTAATGTCATATCTCATATATCCATGCATCTTGTCCGGACCATATCCAATCCAATCCAATCTGATGTATAGATCCATTTCCTATCCGATATATGATAAGCTTCTTGATTCATTTCCTGTGCATATAAC